GCAAATAGCTTATAAACTAATCGAGGCGCGGGGAGCTGAAGACATATTACAAAACAAGATTTATATATAGATGGACTAAATAACAGTGAAGACACTGCTATACAGTAAATAGAATTTGAACTAACATAAAACAAGGCAAGTACATAACGATTATGAAGAGAGGCTAATATAAAGTATTAAATAACTTAATAAGACGGGAGACTTCGCCATAATCATCTTCTGACCGCAAGAAATTTAGCAATAATTCCCTAATATTATTTTTTTACAAAGGGACAAACGTTTAAGTATTTTAATCGAGTAAGGAATAGAGTTAGGTCTCCCTAGCTCTGCGTGACATGCATGTCTTCCAAGTGGCACAGTTGGAGATCGTATTTCGCAAACAGTCCAGACAAATCGTTTGGCTTGTAATGTCAGTTAATACTTGATATGATTAACAACATTAACTTTTTTATCCAATGATACGTAAATATGTTGCATTATTTGTGGCCTCATGAACCCAGTGGAAATAGTCGGCTTGGTTAACCTCCTTACCAACCTTACCATCACTTTCGTGCCACTCGCGAAACAATGGCAAGCGATCCAGGTAAACTAAGTGGTCAGTCAGATATTCCATCAAATAGTGAGGTCAGTTATTATAAACTGCTTAGTGTCGAAAGATGATCTATGAAGATGGTGTGGTCTAAAAATTATTACTCGTCCTTCTCGTTGTGCTTGCAGGAATATAAAATGTACTAGTATTCGTGTGTGCTTAGCATGCGTAGCATGGTGGTTTTGCGTGGTTTTGTCGGGAGCACGACTGAGCGGCGAAGCAGCTCCCATCCCAGTCTCCTGGCCCGTGCCTGCCGAGTGCGATGATCTTATGTTAATCATACGCTTGACATCAACGCAGCTTGATTTTGAAACACTGACATAAAAGTATTATTTCTATTTGAAAGGAGGATTTGTAGTATTGGCAACGTCACCTTTTCCCATTTGTACCTGCATTTTCAGTATTTGGGTAAATTGTGATGCGGTATTAAGGTATTCTCGCGCTACCATGTGCAGCATAGCGGTATTCATACCCCCCTTATGCCCCCCTCCAAATAGGAGTTAATAAGACTTATTACCAAACCACTCCAGGGTAAATCAATTTGCAACATAAGCGTACAGCCATTGTATTTACATTTGTTAGTCCAGCTTGCTTTAGCAGAGCGAGACTCTAAAAATACAGGCGTTTCTTTCTTTTTGTGTGTTTACGTGTGTGTGTCTTTGTGTGTGCGCGTATCTAAATGATAGGGCATGCTCCCAGGTGTTCTTAGCGGAGACCATAGAAACTGGGGATAAGAATCGTCATGAATTTCATTGAATGCAAATGAGTCTCGTGATAAGCATGCAGTTTATTTTCGGTGATAACTGAAATGACACATTAAGTATCACATTTTGGCTGTTGGCAATGATGTATTTTTCCCCAAAATATTGAGGCCCTTGATTTTCATGTAATTATGCACGCGTATTAAAGAGTAAATTATACTCTGAGGAATACTCGACCGTCAATAAAGTAGGATGAGAAAATATTATTGCGCTGAATTCCTGTTTTGTGGCACAGTGAGGCATTACGTTTCTCAGAATATTTTCTCAATTGCTGGAACTCTACGGTTAAATAGATTCTCTTTGTTGTATGTATTTAAGTGATTGATTTTCACAGTTGTTGAGAAGTGAAGTCGCATTGCACTTTATAAATACTTCAGATATCAGTGATTTAACCTTCAACTTCTATTGGAAGCAACTTCAACTACCCCTCTGATGTTACGTATGTGTCACGGATGTGTTAACACAGTCAATATTACATTGTCACAACCTATACGGGTAGCTTTGTACTTGACTGTCACGCACTCTATATGTGTACTTGACTGTCACGCACTCTACATATTTACTTGACTGTCACGCACTCTATATGTGTACTTGACTGTCACGCACTCTACATGTGTACTTGCAGCACTTCACGCCCATAGAATAGAAATCCCATGTCGAGCTTTTCTGGAACGGGCTTAGACTGCTTGCAGTTCACCTTTTCTCTTAAAATCCATCTAGTTCTTGATCTCATCCAGCGCGATTGCAAACCACGATGTTATTATATAAGGATCGAGATGAGACAAGAAACAACGGACTGCTGACTCTTCTGCAGTAAACAAACCCTCCGTCAGTCCAGAAACGGAGTAACCGATTGGTCTATTTCACAACTGTTGACAGATCATTGACTGGTCTGTGGTGAGATTGCAAGCAATAAAAATAGTCATGCGTCACAAACAACTGCAAACAATAGCGAACCAAGCAGTAATCTCAGTAATAAAACTTTTAAGGATATCTTACAGAGGGAAGCTGCTGTAAATTTCCTCAAGGGAAATGAATTCAAGGCAATCTTACCGTTTAAAGAAAGTGTAATATTTTTAGTTGTTTATGTTCTATCTATAAATCTTTTCAAGTAATTCGGGTTTAATTGATTAATTAAGTTACATTGACAGCTTCGTTATCCACAGACAGAACAAAAGAGTCAGAAGTCTCTTATTTTTTCTTCTCGATTGGGCTTACGCCCTCATTTCTCGCTGCAAGCGGCTTCGCTGCTCACGTGATTAGGTTTTGCATGCAGTAATGCAAAGGAAAATAAGAGACTGCTTGCAGTCTACAACAGGCTGATCCGCTAATTCTATTGCTTGAAAGTGTTCATTACTTTCAATGGAACAAGTGATTACTTCAGTGGTTGAAAAAAAGAACAGTCTTTATGAGTAAAACTTTGATGGTGAGGCTAACTGGTCGGGTGTTGTAAACTTTCATTGTATGCAACTGAGTCTTGTGATGAGCTGCATACAGTTTATTTTTGGCGATCGTTGAAATACCACTTTTCCTTGATTTTTGTTTATTTATCAATTCAGAAACAAATTGAGAAATACGATACAAAAAGTAAATACCCTGAAGATAACTCGACAGTAAAGTGGAAATTGAAAAACTTTTACTGAGGAAATCCTGTTTTGTGTAGAATTCGTCGCCTCCTAGATCGCAAACATTCTTATTTTTCTTTGAGTCACAGCAGATCAAGACGAAAATGTTATTTTTTTGCTCGCCGCACGTGGCTTTGAGGAAAGAGGGCGGCCATTCATGGTCTAATCGCCTCCTTGTTTCTTATCTTATCTCCAAGCAAGTGAGACTGACCGCTACTAAGAGCATTCTTTTTTTATGATTAAAAAAGCCCATACTGCAAATGAATGCACCCAAGAGTGGTTTAGCCTAATTAATTCCTATTTGGCTATTTCTTTTTTCTTTTTTCCTTTTAGCATTTTCCTATGCAACAAGATTGCAATAAGGTGCAAACTTATCAGGTTTGAGATTTAGCTGATGTGAAGTCCAGCGTATTTTTAAATCTGCTTTTGTTCAATCAACTGTAGAACAACAAAGATGCATATTGTGTCCACTTGTCTAGTGACTTTATTTTGTTTTGCTTTGTTGAAAAAGTAGTTTTTCCTCCAAATGCTAATTTTCTCCTTTTTTACAACCCGTTGGGTTAAGAACATAATGGTTAGTAAATCCTCCTGCGCCAATGGTGAGGAGACAGGAACGTGACAACGAAGGAACTTTAGCAGCTTTAAAAACAACAAATCGCCTAGTAGCACAACAAGATGGACACGCTACAAATACACATGAGGAGAAAACTGCATGCAAATATAACAGTCACACAATGCTTGTAGTTGCTGTGTTATTTATACCTTCTTTTCATGTTTTGAGCTGTTATTTTTATGTTTCGCTCAGTTTGGTAGCAGTTCCCATGGTTTGAATGCTGAGAAATTTCATGACACAGCTATGTGAGTTATGAGAGGTCATAGCAGAAACTGTGCTGAAGCAGTGTAGTCGAGTTGTTAGGGTACTGGGGCCCGTTTCTCGAAAGTCCCGATAATTAACGGGCTCGGTAAGCTTTCTCGGTTTCCATTAAAGATTGAGGTTTCAATAGTTTTGCATCTAACATGATAAAACTATCAGTTAACAAAACAAAATGCAGTAGTTTGCCAGCCAGGACCCGCGCTCTTATTCTTTTTATTTCGATTTGAATATTTGATTTCGGGCCGGCAAAGTTAACGGGACTTTCGAGAAACGGGCCCCTGGACTTGTAATCCAGAGGCGGGTCAGGTTCTGCCTTGACTGCTGGATGTATTTGTTCTCACTAGTCCTGAGTTCAATTCCTTGTTTGCTATTGTAAAATTGCCCGCTGGTTTGCCTCCTACCAGTTGGGATTCATTCTTAACCCTTTAAGTCCCAATATCCACATACAAATTCTCCAAACTGATCTCTATATATTTCCTTAAAGAATAAGTTGAGAGAATTTGATAAAAGATCAAAGCATTTTCTCTTAGGTGATCATTTTATTACTTCTCATAACCTAATCTCTTGACAATCTATGTCTATCGTTATGAGAAAATTGATGTTGGTCACTATTGGGACTTAAAGGATTAACCATGTTAATGTTCCATTTGAATTATTTGATTCGGTATTCCTTCAAGCCCCAAAAAGTAAGAGGATAATAAGTATTTAAATTTAAATTTAAATTTAAATAAAGTTCACCATCTAAAACGTGTTTACATGGTGAACTTTGATGTCTAATAAAAATAATTATTATTTAATTAGGCTTTTAATTAGGCATAAGTTGACGTAATGATTATTTGGCATAAATGGTCTTAATTAATTAGTTTTCCAGTACACTGTACATTTGTACACAATCAGTGCAGTGTTAACTTTAATTACTGTATAAGTTTTACTGAGCCCAGATTGACACCAATGCTAAACTTTTCCATTTGTAGCAATCTAAAAACCGGGCAAGAATTTAAAAGACCAACCTCCCTTCAATCTTTTTATTGGACTTATTAAGGATGGATTCAAGAGAAGAGCAAGAAACAACTACTCAGAAAAAAACCAGGAACATAAAGAAGAAAAGCATGTGCAAGAATAAAAAAAATCCTGGACGTACCCAGGAAACTGGAGTTAAACCTCACTGGTGCAAGGTTTGCAATAAGTCTTTTACCAATTTAAAGCGACATGAACAATCTCACGCTGGAGTGAGACCTTATAAATGCAACTTTTGTGAGAAGTCCTTTATTGATTTAAACACGCGCACACGGCATGAACGTCTACACACTGGAGTTAGACCCTATAAGTGCAACTACTGTGATAAGTCCTTTACCACTGATTGGCATCGAAAGTATCATGAACATATCCACACTGGAGCAAAACCATATAAGTGCAACTTCTGTGACAAACACTTTCGGCATTCATCGACTTTGCGAACCCATGAACGTCAGCACACAGGAGTGAAACCTTACCAGTGCAAGTATTGTGATAAGAGCTTTTCTCAGAGAGTATCTTGCAAGAAACATGAATTTATACACACAGGAGAAAAACCTTTTAAGTGCAAGTACTGTGATAAGGGCTTCACGCACCCTTCTGATTGTGAGCGGCATGAACGCATTCACACAGGCGTGAAACCTTACAAGTGCAAGTACTGTGATAAGCACTATAGACAGTTGTCAAATCGTAAGATTCATGAACTCACTCACACTGGTCTCACTAATACAGCTTTGAAAACTTTCCACTGCAAGTATTGTGACAAGGGCTTTGTCTACCAATCAACTTGTCATCAACATGAATCTACGCACACCGGAACACAACCTCATAAGTGCAGCTACTGTGAGAAGCGCTTTACCGTGGCTAGGTCTTGCGAGGAGCATGAACGCACTCACACAGGGGTGAAACCTTACAAATGCAAGCATTGTGATAAGTGTTTTACACGCTCAACACTTTGCAAACAGCATGAAATAACTCACTCTGGACTGAAACCCTTTAAATGCAAGTATTGTGATAAGTGTTTTAACCGTAGATCAAATTGTAGGCAACATGAACTAAGACATGAAAGGAAGGGAGATTTAACGGTGCAGTCATTGACAGTTTTGGTAAGTGCTCCTGCTGCTGAGGATTAAGGACCAAAAGATGTAAACAGTTTGATTACAACATTATACAGCAAGACCATGCCTAAAATACCCAAAATTAAATGACAATGATTCCATTTGGATGCAACTTACCCATGTAGTTGCAATGTATTTTGGGGCTGTGTTTTACTTAATATGCTCCTCATTTAAAACAGCTGGTGTTTATAGATTTTTTTATAGATTTTATGTCGCATAAGTGGCACGGTCGGTGAAGCCACAGCTTAGCTTTTCCTTAGCTGCAACATACATCGCTGCAGTACCAAGAAGGAAATAACCAATGATAATAATAATATTATTATTGTTGTAGTATGAATATTACCAGTTCTATCTTGTAATAAAGGTGATTTCTTTTAATAGTGGTTTTGTGTGCCCAGTTGATTGGCCAACTGTGGCTGGCCAAAGAATAACCCCCCTGAAGCAAACTCTCCATTTGAGGGAGTCATGAGAAGTCACAAAACAGCAGCACGCGGAAGGAGACACTAGTGCAAGTGGCGGGGAAAGAAAGGGAGAGCTTGCAATGATCTCTCATAAATTTTCATTTCCACCCCAGAGACCGCAGAAACACTCAAAGCGTGAACACTGTCACTGGAAAGAAGAAATGTGTCGGTTGTTTGTTAGTAACCCACATCCAGGCCAAACTGAACCCACCACTTAAGCTAGCGTTCTAGGAGCAAAATATTACAATTTCGCACAAAGGCAAGATTGGACTGGACCTTGTAGATCGTAGCCTATAAGCAGAGTTGGATGATGTACAATATTCCTTGAATTCAGCGGAGACCTGTTACTTCAATTGCAAAGCTGATGCATTCTGTTTACACAGTCCTCAGAAATCATTCACCAATTGCCACAGAAGGAGTGAATGATCTTGTTCATCGCCGGAGAAAGGAGTAATCATAATATTCCCAATTTCATAAGCATCGTTGTTTCTGAACAGTAAGCATATCCGGCGGGTCAGCCAAGAATGTCATCAATCAAAATTAATATTTTGATGTTGCATCTTTTTTCAGCCAATGCTATTTGCATTGCCTAGGTGAAGCAGAGATGAATATTTATAACAGATCATTGCAAGCTCCAGGGGCGGATCTAGGGGGAGGGTGCAGGGGGTGCGCACCCCCCCCGAGATGACCTGTGGTTTTCTAATACAACTGGTATTCTGCAAACAAAAAAAAAACTATGTGGTTTATTGGTGTTGAAGTAGAGCAAGAGACGAGTGCACCCCCTCCTGAAAAAAATCCTGGATCCGCCCCTGAGCTCTCCTTTCGTCACACGTTGTCAGGGGGAACTGGGGCAACAGGGGGAACAGGGGCCACAAGGAGAACAGCCTGGGATAACAGGTGGAAAAGGGGGAACAAGGGAAACAGGGGCAACAGGGAGAAGAGGGGAAACAAGGGCAACACGGGAAACAGAGGCAACAGGTATTTGGAATAGATTTTGGTAATATACTTGAATAGTGAATAAAATAAATTATTGTAAGACTGACACTAGTATACATGTACATATAATGTCTTTTCACAATGAATGTAACAATATTATTTTACTGGAAAAAATGTTACGTGTACGTGTCCCCTGTGGCCCCTGTGGCTCCTGTTTCCCCTGTGCCCCCTTTGTCCTATGTGTCCTTTGTAGACCCTGTGGCCCATGTGTCCCCTGTGTGTCCTGAGTGGCCCCTTTGTCCTCTATTGCCCCTGTGTTGCTTGTGTCCCATGTGTCCCCCATGTCCACTGTGGCCTTTGTGGCCCCTGTGCCCCCTTTGTCCCATGTGTCCTTTGTAGACCCTGTGGCCCGTGTGTCTCCTTTGTCCTGTTTGGTCCTGTGTTGCCTGTGTCCCATGGGTCCCCTTGTCCACTGTGGCCTTTGTGGCCCCTGTGTCCCCATTTGTCCCCTGTGGCTCCTGTGGCCCATGTGTACCCTGTGTCCACTGTTACCTTTGTAACCCCTGTGGCTTTTGTGGCCACAGGGGCAACAGAACCTGTGGAAAAGTGACCTGTACTTTAGATTCGCCTTTGGACCCCCCTACCCCTCAGTAAATATGTTGAAGCCCACTTACCACCTCACTGAAATTTGTTGAGCTTTATCCTATAAATTTGCAGCCTTCTTTGCATTTTCGCCTTTTATGTCTTCTTTTGCCAGATTTGTCATTCATACTGTTTTTGTGATTTTTCTAGTCAGTTTTTGCCAAAATTTCTGTTGAAGAATTTTTTTGCTGAAAAGAACTGCGATGTAAGTCCGTAACAAGGCTGCGGAAACTGGGCACGAGATGTCTTGCGACGCATGGTGTCACACAAAGTGAACATTTACTTGAAGGACTTTCTTAGGTTACAACTGGTCTTTCAAGACTCTCCTCCTCTCCGGTTTGAAGCGGTCAGCGCTGTTTTCGTTTTGGTTATTGTCCCGTTCAAGGTGAGAAAAACTCTGATGTTAATGTTCTAGCAATTAAAACATTGAACCTAATAATGCTTTCGACCAAGACCTTTGAAAGACTGGTCGCATTTATACACGTAGTAGCATTTTTAATACCTGTACGTAGGCTGTGTTTTAATATCGACTCTCAACGGAGTCGGTAGCACACAGTATCAGGTTTTTCAGTACTAGAATTTTTTTTAAGTTTTACTCTCTTGTTATTGGAAATCCGTTCACGACAACCTAGGCTATACAGAATTATTGTACTGCATGAAAACAGTAACTTATGCAGAACAGACAGTGAACAGCTTTGGGTTCTCGAAGCTTTGCCTCTTATTTGCCCTCTTCCCAATGAAGCTATGAGATGAACTTCTCAGAGTTCCTGTTTTCGTCGGACAAGTCTTCTTTATCCTAATCCGAAAGTTAGACGTCTAAAAAAGCGTGTGTTGCATCATAAAACAGAAAGAAATCAATCTTTAAAGAGACTCTTCGAAGACGGACAAACATGCTTTACTGGGGGGCGGGCGGGGGGACATGGGGGTGGGAGCCTGGCAACTTCTTACATTTGAATTTTTTACTGTAGGTGACATCAATCCTGGTGTGCCCAATGGCTCAAAATCCATCAATGGAAACCAATCTAATTATAAATTAATCATTATTTGTTAATATTGATTGGTTTCAGCAATGACTGCAAATCGATATTCATCGATTAGGCAACCGGTCATCAATGGAATGATATTCTTTGCATATTCTTCAGTGCATTTCATCCTTTTCAATTTCAATCAGTAATTTATCTATTTTGTCTTTGGATAGCTGCGAACTCTTCCAGCATTTTGCTGTGTTCACTCATGCCAAAGCAGCTATTCTGCCGCTTGGCTGTCTGCCAGCGAGGTTCAGATTGTATATTGATACCATTGTATCGTTGGTATATTGCTGGCACCTTCCGAATATGTTCAACGCCAGTTGGTTCTGAAGAATTAGCCAGGGGATAAAAGCTAATCAGAAAAGAAAATATTTTGAATGAATGATAATGTGAATTTTAAATTAATTAATAATATTCTAAATTTGATGAGTCCTCCGGTACTTTTGCTTCATTAGTTCTATGAAAGTGGAAATGATCCTTGCAGCTGAACAAACAACCTCAGCTGAATCTGTAAGTTGTTCTGTTGCTCACACCATATCAAATGTTTTATTTTTAGCAATAAAAATAAAAGGCAAGAAAAGAGTATACAGCCTTTAGTTCTGTTATTGGGCATATGAGGAATGGATCCCCAAACAGTACAAAGAAACGGCCAGTCAAAAGAGACAGAGACTATAAAAGAGAATAGAAAACACAAGAAAGAAAAAAAGGGTAAAGTTACTGGCAGTAGCGTTAAATCTCATCAGTGCAAGTTTTGTGATAAGTCCTTTTCCCTTTCATCATCATGTAAGCGGCATGAACAAACTCACACAGGAGTAAAACCACATCAATGCAAATTTTGTGGAAAGTCCTTTAGTCATTTATCAACACGCAAGCGGCATGAACGTCTACATACTGGAGTCAGACCTTATAAGTGCAACTACTGTGATAAGTGCTTTAACACTTCTTGGCATCGAGCGGATCACGAACGTATCCACACTGGAGCGAAACCATACAAGTGCAAATATTGTGAGAAAGACTTTCGGCATTCATCAACATTACTAAACCATGAACGTCAGCACACAGGAGTGAAACCTTATCAGTGCAAGTATTGTGATAAGAGCTTTACTTACATAATGTCTCACAAGAAACATGAATTTAAACACACAGGAGAAAAACCGTACAAGTGCAAGTACTGTGATAAAGGCTTTAGCAACTCCTCTGATTGCGAGCGGCATAAACGTATTCACACAGGGATAAAACCCCACCAGTGCCAGTACTGTGGCAAGGGTTTTAGACAGCCTTGCGAGCGTGAGCAGCATGAACGCATTCACACAGGTATAAAACCTTTTAAATGCAAGTACTGTGATCTGTGCTTTAGACAGCGGCCAAATTGTAAGACTCATGAACTCACCCACACAAAGGAAGGGGGTGAACCTGGTTACACAGCGGCACAACCTTATAAGTGCAGGTACTGTGAGAAGCGCTATACTTTAGCTGCGACTCGCATGGAACATGAACGAAATCACACAGGGGTGAAACCTTACAAGTGCAAGCATTGTGATAGGTGTTTTACGAGGTCATCGCTCCGCAGACAACATGAAATAACTCACTCTGGACTGAAACCCTTTAAATGCAAGTATTGTGATAAGTGTTTTAACCGTAGATCAAATTGTAGGCAACATGAAGTAAGACATGAAAGGAAGGACGATTCAGCTATACAGTCATTGACAGTTTTGGTTAGTGTTACCACCACCAATAATTAAAAACCAAAAGTTCCAATTAATTAATTAATAACTACATAAAACTAGAGACAACACTTGTATAAAGACATATAAGTAAATGAATTAAATGCAGGTAATATAGGTGAACCCGGTTTATTTATGTTCATTGACTTTGAGAAGGCATTCAACTCTAGAGTGCAGCCAAAGCATTTCAGGTCACGGGGTCCAAGCGAAAATGTGAGGGTGTTTCCTGCCTGTTGGCCTTGGATATGTCACCGAAATGAATTGACCTATAGGGACTGGGAAAACATCATACAGGGACTAGGCAAGGCTTTTATAGAAAGAGCTCTTGCTTTAATTTTAGGCCCTCTTTAGTAAACTGGTTCAGATTATTCTACAATGATGTCTCCAGTGCTATCCAAAACAATGGATGGGTCACAGAGAGTTTTACCCTAGGTAGAGGGGTCAGGCAAGGTTTCCGATGTTCTCATATTTATTAATAATATCGGCCGAGATATTAGCCAACTTCATCAGGAGAGATAAAGACGTAAAAGGTTTTATGACGGGCGAAGTCTAACACAGACTAAGCCAATTCGCTGATGACACGACAATAATACTAGATGGTTCAGAGGGCTCATTTCTTAGAGCAATCAAGGTTCCAGATGGTTTTCAAAAGACTTCTGGCCTTAAGGTAAATGATGAAAAAAACCAAAGTGCTCTAGATGGGTTTGGCAAAAAAGAGGTCCTATAGACCTTTGTCACACAGCAGCCATTTTGTCTCAGGAGACTGAAAAAGCTTTGTGCATAAACAAAGCTTTTTAAATCTCCTGAGACAAAGTAGCTGCCAAATGACAAAGGCCTATAGAGTGCAACAAGCTAGTCTGAGAAAACAGCCAGCATTTGGCGACGCCACCCCTGGTTTCCCCACCAAATGACATCTGAGAAATGAGCGCAGAAATGCCATAGTGATGACGCGTCACTACCCTGATCTGGCTAGTGCTTCTGATTGGTCGTGCCATGTGGGAAATTTATTTCAACCAATTAGAAGCACTGTCCAGATCTGAGTAGTGATGTGTCATCACTATGGAATTTCTGCGCTCGTCATTTGGCGAGGAAACCAATGGTAGCATCGCCAAATGTCGGCTGTTTTCTCAGGCTAGCAACAAGCCCGATATCTCCAGGGTAGAAGGGAAAGTTTTTGCTTTAGGAGTATGGTTTGCAACGGACAGAAATGTATAAATGCTCTGTCCAACTGCAACAAAAGGATTGTGAAAATAAAAAATGTAATCGAATTATGGCAACTAGGAGGCTCACTTTATTTGGAAAAATCACTTTTATCAAAAGTCTGCTGGTCTCCCAACTTATGTACATTTTGACTCCACTCCCTACTTACGCTGTGGCACTACAAAAGGTCAACAAACTTCTTTTCAAGTTTCTTTGGGACGGCAAAGGCGATACGATTAAAATAGAGTTTATAACAAAGGATCATGAAGAGGGTGGTCTGAGGAAGATTGACATAAATATACATTCAATAAGTCCCTTAATGCTTCCTGCATGAAGAGATACCTTGATCCGACAAATAATGGAAAATGGGAATTTCTTATGACAGTTAAGAAATGCATGGTGGGAAATTAATTTTCTCTTGCAATCTACACAAAGATGACATTCCACTGTTAAGAATAAGTAATCCCTTTGTTCGCGAGGTCCTATCAACCTAGGAGGAGTTGCATTTCTCTGCTGCTGCAGCCATCTCTAATGCAAACTTTGGCAACCAGACCATCTGGCTGGGTGGGTTATTGTATCTGCAAAATTTCTCATTTATTAGATGGGGGTGGGAACCTCCTTGGATATGATGTCATGAAGTCGAATTTTCAGGATTTAAATTGGTTAGAATTTTTTTTTATCGTTTCAGCCGTAAAATCGTTTATAAATAAGCTGCAAAATGAACCGATGTGTAAAGTTGCAACCTCTACCGCCATCGATCTCGTTCTTCTTGAGAGATATCATATCTACTCGAGCAAATTAGCTAGAGCGTCTCCTTGCTGTCCCTCTTTAAGGTAAATTCCGTCATTGAGATAGAAAGACAAAAAGCATGTTATAGTAATTCTTCGACCGTCTTTTCAAACAAATGGAAACTTTTCCTTATTTAACTTTGTTGGCTTGAACCTGTTACCCTACCCTAGTCCAGCCTAGTCCCTAGGCGTTCTCGGCTCGGTCAATCCTGGACTCTACCGTGAGCTGTGACGTCACCGAGAGATACAAAGAGAGACTTCGCGCGGACAAAGGGGGCAAGAGAGAACGCCCAGGGACTAGGCTGCCTCTAGTCTACTACACAGCCGTTTTTAGAGTCGTCACGCAAGGCTCCTCCCCACAGTAGGGGAGGAGGAGCGTTGAGTACCGACACAAAAAACGGTTGTGTAGCAGACTAGTTACCCTCTAGCTAATCGCTTTATTACCATACGTGTCTTGTAAAGTTAAACCATCCACCCTTTCCTCCTTTCCTTTTTTATTGACAAAACAAAACTACCGTAAAATTCCGAAAATAAGCCCCTGGGCTTATATTTTTTAAAGGCCCTTTTTTAGAGGCTTATTTTTTGGAGGGACTTATATACGGAGGGAAATTTGCGTTTCAAAATAGATTGGGCTAGCCTTATGGCTGAAAGGAAATTCACCGTTTTTGCTTTGTTTTACTTTGTATTTGAGGGCAATTTCCAAGGACAAGCCCCTCGGGGGCGTATATTTGGAGGGGCGATTGAACGGAGGGTTTTTTGCGTTACAAGTTTGGGGGGCTTATATTTGGAGGGGGTTATACATGGAGGGGCCCATTTTCGGAATTTTACGGTATGTAAGTAGCTAAGCGAATTCAAGCGTAAACTAGACCTCAGTTTTTCCATGTAACTGTCAATTTTATTCGTTATTGTATATGTAATTATGTTATTATACAGGTCTGTTTTGTTTCCAGTAATATGTATACGTTTCTGTGCTGTAATAAAGCATTATATAATAAATAGAAAAAATTATTAACTGCTTTTACTGATAGTTTCCATTTTGTATTTTTCGTTTAAAATAATGTTAATTTTCAAAGATTTTACACATGCAGCAGAGAATCTACCTATCATATTAATCTGTATCATTTTGCTTGTCTCAGTTTATCTGGAAATTTTAACTCTTAAAAGTTAAGACTTGTCGTGAACGCTTAAATCCCTTAATTAAATGCCCTTTCTTCATACTTGAAATAGCAAAAATAAAACCTACGGGTCGGGACATCTGACATCAAAGATCAGACATCTTACTTCAGGCATCAGACATCGGGCATCATGGGACATCGAAAATCTGACATCGGACAGCAGACATCTGACACAAGACATCAAACATCAGACATCTGACATAAGAAATCTGACATCAGACATCCAACTTCGGACATCGGACGTCAGACATCGGAAATCTTACATCAAACATCGGACATCAGAAATCAGACATCAAACTTCGGACATCAGACATTTGACATTAGACATCTGACATCAGACATCAAACTTCGGAAATCGGACGTCTGACATCAGAAATCAGACTGAAGACATCGGTCATCAGACAGCAGACATCACACGTCGGACATCTGCATTCCGACATCAGACATCTGACATCGGACATCACGCATGTAACATCAGACACCAGACATCAGACATCAGACAGCAGTCATCGGACATCACTCATTAGACAGCAGACAGCAGACATCAGACATAACCCCTTTGACAAAATGCCATTTTTTCGACAATATCAAAAAGTTATTTTTATGGTCTAGAAAGCCTTGTTTTCTCTCTAGAACATCATCAGATAATATATCTAGGTCCTTGTTAACCCCTTTGCAAAAATAACAATTTTTGGACTTTGTTATAAAGTTGTTTTTATAGCCTTGAAAGCCTTGTTATATATCTACCAACCAAAAACAATAACAATCTCATTCCGGTGAGTACCATAATCGGAGTCCCATTCGTAGTTCTCACACCTGAAGTCAATAGGGAGTTTAAGCAGCGACGTTTTGAGCGACCCTCGTCAACCACAAGTAAGCCTTTTTCTTTTTAATATCCCTTGGCACCACCAAATTTGTATTGCTAAGTGTTTTTACTCTAAAGAAACGATTTGCCCTCAAATTTGTTCAAAGTCACGGTTCAATAGTGCAAAAAGGCACTTCCGGTTGACGTGCGTCGCTCAAAAACGTCGCTGCTTAAGGTTCTCCTGAAAATAATGACAGAAAATGGAATTTATTCACCTCCCATGAAGGTAATTTCCAACAGCATTTTGTTTGTTTATACTTTACGCGGCGCCCTCATCAAAATTGCGCGCGGGTATCACACGCAATGGGGCAATTTTTTCGATAGGACCACCCCATTACCGGAAAAGGTGAGATGGTATCTAGTTGCGTTCTCCTACGCCGATTATAGGAAACGTAACAGCAACTGCCACACGTGCACCAACCCACGGCCTGGCCAGTACCTAACGCATGCGCAAAGCCATATCACCCGGGCGTTGGCTATCGTGAGTATCAGGCCATCCTAAGGGGCTAGGGGAGAGGAGATTTTTTCCCCTTTTCCCACAGAAACGCCAGATACTCAGGCTAGGCGTTGGAAGACAGCTGTCTCGATCCAGAGGCGTCCTTATTAGGGATCATCAAAATATGAAATATCAAGTCCACAGCGACAAACCAATAAAACAGCATGGTATAGCGGTCTGACCAAGGAACCGCTGACAGTCCTGGAATAGCTTCAATTCAGTGTTAATGAAAGATAGACTGCCTATTTTACTTAAAGGCTCGCATTTGAAAGGGTAGTGGATTACTTTCACATTAAAGATCGTGCTTCGATTCCTATAAGCTCATATTTTGCATATACATTCCTCATATATGTGCTGGTTTCATTACGCAGTTGAAGAACTCGTCACTATTAGAAGTTATATTTACTATTTGTCTC